GGTCTACAGAGCTAGCTAGTTCCAGGACAGGCTCCAACGCTACAGAGAAACCCTGTCTGGGGGGGGGGGGGGGGTTAGGAAGAGCCAAAACTGAGGAAAAAGAGAATAGGAATATTATGTTAGCTAAAACCAATAAATATGGAAGAAGACGAAAGGGTTTAAAGTATTTTTTTATGGTCATCAGAAATTAGGGTCAGGGCTGGTTAAGAGCTCTTGTTGTTCTGGCAAGACTATTGTTCACAGCCCCTACTTTTTAAACTCGTGTGTAGTGTTCTTTAAATAAGAGTAAATTCTATTTTTTTTTTTAAAAAAAGAGAGAGAATAAATTCTGTAAAATAAAACAAATTCAAATTACTCTTCAAATTTAAACTTAACTAGCATATACTTACATATTATTTTCTTCAGCTGCCAGGAAAAATAGTCCTATAAAATTTAAGGACTTTTACAAAACTCAAGAATTTCAAGATTCTATTGTACAAGTTGACTAGTAACCTTTAAGAAACCACTACTGAGCCAGGTGGTACTGGCACATGTCTTTAATCCCAGCACTCAGGAGGCAGGGACAGGCAGATCTCTGTGAGTTTGAGACCAGCCTGGTCTACAAGAGCTAGTTCCAGGACAGGCTACAAAACTACAAAGGAACCACCTCGGAAAAAAACAAAAACAAACAAACAAACAAAAAACAGTATTGAACATGTGTTTAAAGACAGAACTAACAAAATTAAAAGCTTGGAAAGAAAAATTAAAGAGATTTTCCCATATTCCTACAATATTAGCCTCACTAATTTTCATTCTAATCCACCAAGAGGCCTTCAGAATTCAACAAAAAGTGTAGAGAAGACAAGAAGCTCTAGACATGACAAGTCTAAGAAAACTTCCTTTCCTTCCACATGTGGTACAGTGCTTCCCCTAGGAACATAACATAGAAGAAATTCATTACTCTTCCACAACAACAGGCCTACACTATCTACAGTGACAGTCTAGACAGTGTTCCCATCCTCTCTTCTAGAAGATAACAGCATCAGATTCCTGCTAAATTCATCGCGCTCTCCTGTAAATCTCTGTCTTCATCACATTCCTTAGTGCTTCCAGGTTGTTAAGGTACCTCTGACCATAAGCAACTATCATGGAAGGGTATAATTAAGACCTCTATTTCTTCAAACCATTTATGATATTAATCAAAAGGAGTAATACTTTCCTGAGAAGTCTTAAACGAATTAATTACCTTCCAACTTTGTTTTTCAAGGCAGAGTTTCTGTGTGCCCTGGCTGTCCTTGAATTTACAGTGATCTGCCTGCCTCTGCCTCCCAAGTGCTGGGATTGAAGGTCTGGGTCACCAATGCCTTCATACTTTTAAAATACACATCATTCCCTGTGTTTTGAACAATTCAAACATGCTTCCTGTCGCCACAATAAAGTAATGTATTTTCTTCTCATCATGTAAAGTCAGCCCTATTCTCAAATACAATGTGTTCAATAAATTATACAGTACACTTAACAACCATGAGCACACACAATATGCTGTCATCACAAATTTAAAATCGGAAGACCAGGGGATGGATCCAAGCCAACATATACATGACATACTATATCATCTACGTAAGAAATACAGAATTATTATTCCATTCTTCCTGAGTTGTTTCTCCAGCATTATGGCTTTTCAAAGACAAACATCCTCAGGTGTTAGTTTCCCCAAATGCTACAGCAAACATTCCATGGCCAAAACTGCAGCATCACTTTTTCTTGGCAAGAATCTGAGGATGGAACATGCAGAGGGCACTGGCACAGGGTAGCCAGTGACTGGCTTGGCTGGCGCAATTAGGCTAGTGCAGTTTGTGGCTCCAGGAGCTAGGGGTAATCATCTTTTCAGATGAGAGGAATGAAATATCATTTAAACCTATCAGCTAATTGTCTTTGTATTTTTGAGTCAGGTTTCAGGTTACAGCCCAAAACTTGGGACCAACAAAAGTCTGATGAAAGTGCTTCTCATATCAGTATCAAACTTTCTGTTCCCAATCCCTGGGATAGATACCTACTGGGCATCTATTGTATTCCAGACATTGTATGAGGTTCTCTTCAGTATGGAAAACAAATTTGAAATAGAAACTTTTATTCTTCATATATGAGAAACTGCTGAGAGGATATTTTCAATATTAATAACACAGCTTTTAGAAGCAAAATGAAAAGCATTGTCACTTAGCTCCAAAGTACGCCATTCTTCTACTACATGAAGCTGCTGCTACCTGAAGAGCTTTGAAGATCTTTCCTCAGACATCAACTCCTCTGTAAAGTCTCCAAGCCAACCTTCATATTCCAAGGATAGCACACACATAAAGGAAAAAATATTCCTTAAAATAAAAAATTATACTAGGAGTCCAGAGAGAGCTCAGTGGCACCTGCCACAAAGCCAAACGACCTAGTTCAATCCCCAGGATCCACAATGGGAAAGCAGAGCTGAGTCCCTCAAGTCATCCGTGCACAGCCACCCAAGCCATGCAAGTGTCACACTGCATATAAATGCATGCACACACATGTGCACAAAAAAATAAATGTATATGTGTGCAAACAATAAAAACAAGGATAACTTTTAAAAAATTATACCAATAAAACTGGCAGTGGTGAAAACACCGTTAATCCAAGCATTTAGCCGGCAGAGGCAGGCAGATCCCTGTGAGTTCAAGGCCACCCTGGTCTACAGAGCAATTCCAGGACAGCCAGGGCTACAAAGAAACCCTGTAAGGACAAAAAAAAAACAAAAAAACAAAAAACCTTACATTGATAGGTCCTCTATGTCTCATGTTCCTATTTTCTTCATTACACACTTGCTGCAAGGAAGCACTTTGTGCTTTTAAAGAGCTCTCAAGACTTGACTTCAAACATATACATACAGCTAGCTGGATGGTGGTGGCTCACAAGTTTATAATCCCAGCACTCAGAGGCAGAGGCAGCTGGACCCCTGTGAGTTCAAGGTCAGTCTGGTCTACAGAGCAAGTTCCAGGACAGCCAGGGCTACACACAGAAATTGTATTTTGAAAAAAAAAAGTAAATAAATTATACAAACGTAAATATGTATTCCAACCCAAAGGCTCAAATGCATCAAAGAACCTCATGTTTGGCAAAAATAGAACATACTTCTTAAACACACATCAAAAGTAAAGTACACTTAAGTGCACGCCTTTACCCAACACTCTGTGAGATCGAGGCCAGCCTGGTCTACAAGAGCTAGTTCCAGGTCAGGCTCCAAAGCTACAGGGAAACCCTGACTTAAAAAATAAACAAAAAAAAGTACACTTAGAAATTAGATTATTAACTTAATTTTGGAACCAACGTTGCCTAGCTTAAGTGACTTTAATGTCCTAATTTTATTTCATTTATAAATGAAAATCATGAGCCACACATACTAGCTCCTATTTGCCATGCAGCTGTGGCAAATTTGAGTGTTTCCCTACCTACAAACCTGAAAGGAACCTTTGGGACTCTCTTACTACACTACTCCCAAATTCACCACTCAGTCCTTTTTCTTTTTTCTTTTTTTTTTCTTTTTGTTTGCTTCATATTGTTTTGTTTTTTCCTGAACTTGCTCTGCAGATCAGGCTGCCCTCAAACTCACAGAGATCCTCCAGCCTAGGCTTCCCAGTGCAGGGGAATTAAAGGCATTAAATAAAGGCAAGTGCCAGCACCTCAGGGCTCCCTGTCACTTTTCCTACTACTTTTCCCTTTGCCCCATTAGAATGTGAATGCCAAGAGACCTGGCCAACTAAGCATTTATCACCACACCCTAAGCTTCCTGCGAAACCTAATAGATACCACCCAAAATACTGGGAAGCTCCTGGAGAACCAAGGACACCTCCTTGCCCAAATTTAAAACTGGGGAAATAAGAGCCAACACTGGTCTTTTGGCCACATCCAACACTTCCCAGTTTTTTAGAAATTCGTTTTCCCATGTGTTGTGTACTTTGTTATTAATCTCATAACAAAAACTGGGAGGAGGGCCGGCAAGAAGGCTCAGCCGGTCAAAGTGAACCCAAATCCCCAATATTCAAATCATGCACCCATGGCCACACAGACATACAGACAGAAAGACAGACACACACACACGGTAAGATTTTCGTTTAAAGACCCAAGGAATATTAACTACAAGCTCATTAGTAACTTATATTGAATTCACAATCACCTGCAATCTTTCCAAATGAAATTTCACAAGGAACAAAAGTTCCCAGCAAAACACAGCTTAAACAGATAAGCCCAGACATAAGCTACCTGAGTAATTTCAGGCGGCCACCTCCAGCTCCTTCTTTCTCAATATTGTCTCCCCTGTCCCCATTTCTCCATACAGTCAGGACACCTGGGTACTGACTCAGAAATCTCATCGAGCTCCATCCTTATTTTGAACCACACAACTCCTCATATCCCACTCCCAGTAAAACTTTCCCCAACTTGGGACACTTGGAGCCACGCAGTCACAACCCTCGTGCTTTTGCTGCCTACCCCCTCACGCAGTTAGTCCTCAAAGGAGAACTTTTCTCCTGGGAGTCACATCTCAGCCACCGAGTCGTGGGGATCCCCGCCCGCCCGTGATCCCCGCCCGCCCGCCCCCCCCCCCACCCGCCCCCACGTCCCAGTTACCTAGGTGCCGTGGACCAGAGAAAAATCCCTAGTCTCGGCTTCCTTACTCTCTCCCTCCCCACCGGCTCCGCGGCGCCGGGCAGCTGCCGGGTTCCGAACCGCGAAGCTGCGGGACGCACAAAGACCCTCCTGGGGCTTCTCCGGGCCTGCGCCCCCCGAGTGCGGGCCACGCCCGCTGAGCGGCGGGAAGCCGGGATGCTCAGCCGGGCCGGTCGCTCGCTGACCCCGACCCCACCCACGCCCCACCCACGCCGGTCACCCCAAGGCCCCGCCAAAGCGAAAAGAGCATCCTGGACCCCGAGGCCCAGGCCGGCCGTATCCCAACGGGCCCCGCCGCCCCGGTTCGGTACCCCCGGCCCCCCGGCCGCACTCACAGGCTGCCCGAGCAGGAGGTGCACACGAACGAGCCGACCGTCATGTTCACGTAGGTGGGGCCGCGCTGGTCGCAGTCGAAGCACTTGCGGTTGTGCGGCAGCCCCGTCATGTCCCGCAGCATCTTCAGGTGCTTCTCCTCCTGCTTCCGCTTCGCGCTGGCCGCCATGGCCGCGGCTCCGACCGACGAGGCCGGCAGGGCCGGGAGCCGGCGGCAATGCCGGGGCCCCGCGCTCCCTCCCACGGGCCGCCCTGGCCGCCGCCTCCGCCCTCCTCCGCCCGCGCGGGCTCCGGCCTCGGCCCTCCGCTCGGTTCCGCCCGGCTGGACGAAGCGCGGACGCTGCGCAGCGCGCGCCGACCGGTCACACCAACCGGCCGGCCGGGACAACCGCCACCACCGCCGCCGTCGCCGCCGCCACCTTCCCGACTTCTCCTAAGGGGGAAAAGACGAGGCGGGGGGGGGGGGGGGGGGGGGGGGCGGCAAGAGGAGGCCCGCCTCGGGCGGCCAGCGGCCAAGTGCGGGCCGGTGCCCTCTGCTGGCCGGGAGGAGTCACTGCCGCCACGCTGCGGCAGGGGTTGGAGCTGGGCGGGTAGGTAGGGAAGACACAATGGTGAGGATAAATAACAGACCTTATCCACTGGTCGCCTGTACGTGCTCAGCGCTTCGCACGCTCCCGGCAGAAACGTTTCCGAGAGCTTCTCGTTGCTTTAGGGGCAACCCCAAATTCCTCACTAGCAAGGGTCTAGCCTCCTTTCACTTCATAACCATTTACTCAGCCACTCTAGACTTAGGTTTGCTCCCTCCACACAGCGAGCGCAGCTTCTTTTTCATTCCTGCCCTTACTGTTTTCTGTATAGCAAGCAAGGGTTATCAAGATCATCGCTCCTGACATTTTGGAAGAGTTTAGTTTTGGCGTTGGGGCTGTCCCATAGTTTGGAGGGAAGCATGCCTGACCTCTACCCACTAAATGCCCTGACCAAATGGCCCCTCTCTTTCCAAGGTATGGCAACCAAAAATCCTTCCTTACACATTGCCAGACGTCCAGGGAGGTTGAGCAGAGTGGGCGCAGTCCTACTTCGGGCAAGGCAAGAACACTCCTAGCAAGCTAAGTCACTTAGGTCATATGAGTTTCAAGCAGCTCTCTAGCCAGACTGACCCAGATCTGTCCCTAAGGTTGCATCTAGGCTCTCTGGGAACTGCTCCCTGTCAAGCTACTATGTTTACTGCTTCCCACCTGCTCTGAACTCGCCCTTCAGGTTCCAAATGGTCTACCCCTTGTATTTTATTCGCTGCTCCACTCGGTACGCCTCTCAGAACTGAAGGCTCGGAGCTCCTTGTTTGTGGAATGAGTGCATAGCACTTAACAGACAATCTTCATGGTTGAGCTTTGAGCTAAGCATGATTGGTATTTCCATGTCACCAATTGGGAGTATGGGACACTAGGCTAGATTTATTTAGGTAATCACCTACCCAAGCTGGGGTTCCACCCCTGTCCAACTGCGACACCTACACCTCTTTGTCTCTGCAAGAAATCAAAATCACTGCCAGCGCCTAAGGCAGTGAGTGGTTCTGAACCCATGGGTCACCACCCTCTGTGGGGGTTTAAATGACCCTATCAAAGGGGTCTCCTAACACCATCGGAACACGTATTTATGTTGCTGTTCATAACAGTAGCAAAATTACAGTTATGAAGTAGCAACTAAAATAATTTATTGTTGGGGTGTCACCACAATATGAAGAATTGTAGTAAAGGGTCACAGAATCAAGAAAGTTAACAACCACCGTCTGTGCCCTCATTGCTTAAAGGAGTATGGGAAGAGTCAGAGAGTTACAGAATACCATCCCTGCCCCTACCACAGACGGAGGAGAATTCAAGTTTATAAAGCTTGAAATGCTGAGTCAGCCCAGGAGCCGGCAGGTTGGCATCATGCTATTAATAATAGTAAATGCCTTTAGTATTAAAAGAGGAGGACAGAGAGGTTGACTAATGGGTTTCTGAACTATTTCTTCTATGAAAAAGACAACCTAGAAGCCCTGTTCACCCTCAACAACCATCAGCTCACGCCTCATCTTGCTTTATTAATACCTTGTCCCCTCTCCTAATTTAAACTGTAGCTATTGAATCATTTATCTTCAAATGCATCCACTTACAGAGTTTCATACTTTCCCTGGCTCCTTAATGTACAATTGTAGTTAGGTGAGTATCGGAGCAGGGTCCAAGAATGGAATCCTATGAGGAGATTTCGGAGAGCTTATGGGAAAACTCCAAGAAGCCAAGAGTCTGGGGACTTGCGTTTCTTCCAAACCACAGGATGGTTCTTGGAACATGTCTTGTGCTCTTCCCGGGTGTAGCTTACAGGAGTGAGTTTACTCTGGGTTTTGTTGCTTACTCAGTACAGCTGGCTAGGGTTTGTTCACGGAGGCTTGTCCTCCACATGCTGCTTGCCCATGTGAATGGACACTTTTCTTGTGTGACTCTTCTTAACCCCCAGAGTATAAACTGTCTGATGCTCTGAATAAAGCTGGCTATTGCATGAGACTTCAGTCGGCCTCATTTATCAGCTCCATTCTCCTGGATGCCACCACCTCTAGAGAGTTAAATAGGTAGTATATGTCATAGAGTCTCTCTGCTCACTCTCTTTTCTATAGGCTGTCACTGTGTCATATAACATACCCCAGTCTCTCTTTTGTACAAATAGGAGGTTAGATCTAGTGTATTTGCATCTGGTTTAGTGTAGGCAAGAGCACTGTTTTCCCATTGGGAGGCACATAACAGGGGCATCTTTCCGTGACATTAGCAGTCACTGACAGCTAATGCCTACAGTCACAACTACAAAATAATGATATTCTGACTCTGTCCTTCCCATGTCTTCATTTTTTTTAAGCTGAAATATTTCTGGTAAAATAGTCAAAATGGGATATGTCCCTTTAATCCTAGCACTTAGGAGGCTGAAGCAGGTGAGTCTCTGTGAGGTCAAGGCCAGCCCAGTCTACACAGCAAGTTCCAGGCCAGCTAGAACTGCCTGCTGGGAGGTGTGGCCTCAGTTCATCAAACAATAAAAAAAAAAAAATCTTCCCCACATCTACTAATTACATATCAGGAAGGCAAGATAAATGTCTGATTCCTTGCCTTTACTCTCAGATATCCAAGGTCCTCTATTGGCCTCATTTCACCTTCTCACAGTGATGACTGTTCTTAAGTATCGTCATGTATAAGCCAAGAATCTAGATGGATCTATGCCACCCATTACACATCCTCGTTGTTGGCATCATCTCGCCGTTGGCCGATGGAAGACTGTGAGTAGGCTCTTGTCTATTCTGACAACACCTAGACTTAAGAGCCACTGAATTGTGTTCTGGCAGGACCCCAGGCTGACACAGACATAAGGGCTATCAGAACAGAATAAAAATGCTAACCCCACTCTAACGAGAGGACGCCACCATAGTCTCCCACGCCTCCCCCCACCACCCCCACCCCCGCACACACACACCCCTTCCCACAGCCCTCGGCCTCTATTCAGGCCCTTGTCATTTGTCTGCCTCCTGGCTGCTCATCTCTGTGCCGGTCGCTCATCTGACAAAGACCATGATAGGAAGGGTGGATAGCCACAGCTTATACAGCCAGCTAAATGAGTGGCTGTATTTGCCGTGCATTTGTCGTTGAAGAGGCAGGAGTGATGATTTCCAAATGAATGTGGAGCCAACTGAAACTCATGTGAAGTCTGTCTTGTCTAAGAATAACTGGCTCACTGAATGTTAGGTAATACATAAGATCAACACCACTTACTACTTCAGAGAATAACTTGTAGGAAGACTTTATTTATTTATTTATTGTCATTCCTTTAACCCTTGCAAGAACACCAGAGATATTAGTATCCCATTTTATAGACAAGGAAACTGAGGCTTTGAAATGCCATCTTGTCAGGACTCAAACCCAGAACTGGTTGCGAACCGGCTTCTACTTCCCCTGGCAAACTGTGTTTATTGGATTTGCTGAGCAGAAATTACCTTAAAAGACGTTAGTTCTGCAGCCAGAATAATCTTTTCGAAATGGAAATGTAATTCAGGCATTTCCCACTGAAAGCCCACCCCCTCCTGTGTGAATGAAGCCGTTTCAGTGATTTCCTGTTTCTTTTAAGATGAAAGGCCAGGGGGCTTCTTCTTTTCTGTAGCTCAAACTGGCCTGAAACTCACTGTGTGGTCTAGGATGACCTTAATTCTGGTCCCTCCCCCTCCACCTTTCCAATGTGGGATTATGAACTTGTTCCACAATGCTCAGTTTGATGCTGTACTGGGAATTGAACCCAGAGCCTTCTGCATGCAAGACAAGTACTATACTAACTGAGCTACAACCCCCGCCTCCCAAGAGGCTCCTTACCTACCAAATTTCTCCCTGGTCCAGCCCCATGTGCTCTGGGTACCATCTTAAGTCTGCACCACTGCTCTCCAGCCCTGTGTCTCAGTTTTATATACCCTCCCTCCCCACAAAGGGCCTTTGCACACATGATGGTTTCACGTCCAAAAGTGGCTAAGACTTCCCTTCACATCCATCATGGCCAGCTCAGATCTTGTTTTGTTTTTAAGACACACCCCCCCAAACACACACACACACACACACACACACACACACACACACTATGTGGACTTTATTGAGAAAGAGTCCAGGTCCCAGGTCCCAGAGCTGCTGCATTCCTCCAGCACCTAGCATGGCCATGGCACTTAGAAAGGGCTCAATAAGTATTCGTTGAGGGAATAAGTAAAGGCAGCTACTGACTGCCAAGCAGTAAAGCTCTTCTCAGTCAGAGGCAGCAGGGCCCAGCATTCTGCTTGTTGTTCGGCATTCTCTGCTGCTTTGGTTCCTAGGATGGCGACCATTCAGCTAAAGCTACAGAGGTTTTATTAAGGAACTTGCAAATTCTGAAATCAAACCCCCAATGGGTTGGGGGGGAAAAAGCAAGAAAGAAAAAAGAAAACCACAAAATCTTGAATGCTGACTGGCTTGCTTCAAGGCCCTTTCCTGTCTTATCACCCAGGGTGAGTCAGAGAAAATGTCCTGAGCAAACTCTAATGTTTGGAGAGGCCTCACAGAGCCAGAAGCCAGCTGCCAACACATCCTCATCTGCCCCGCCCTCCATGCCGTAGGCTGAGTGGCGCTTGGAGAGCCACACAGGCTAAGCAAGAGCAGATCTTACCCTGTGTCTGGTGGAGGTTTCAGCCCTTACAGCTTTTGAGTGGAAAGAAGAGAGCTTCCCCTCCATGGAGAACCATGCTTCAGACTTCTGGCAATGTCTGTTTCCACAGTGACACAGAGATCCACTGACAAAACGCAAAGATGCTGCCAGGCACGAACCTGTCCCCTTGGCCCTCCTTGCTACCTACAGTATTTTCTAAGTTCACATTTTTAGTGGATGGGACTTAGGTAGAGAATAGTGATGTTGCCTTATTTTGC